GGGAGCCTGAAAAATCACCGTTCATAAAGCTTTTCCTCTAGCCTAGTTATTTACTTCACCCTCCCAAGTTTCCTTGTGTTCTTGATGTGGTGGGGTTGAACAGAACTGGACCCAGTGTTACTCAGTATGTTTCTGATGAAAATCCTGAGTTCTGTAGGCCACAATATTGACCCAGTATTACTTGACAGCTGGCAGACAGTAGTTGATTATCTTCTAAGCTTGTTCAGTTATGTTTCAAACTATGCAAGCCAGTTTATTCAGCCTGCATTTCCTTGGCCTAGAAAGGAGAATGTCGTGGGAGACAGTGCCAAAATTCTTAATAAGGCAGTGTGCATTGCATTTACATATTTTCTTTGATTCTTGTAGCCAGGTGTTTTATAATTGAGGGCAATTGCATTGCTTGAGCATGATTTGCTCTTGGCAGACTGGTCTCTTATTCTGAATTAACATCTTTTCCTTATGTGATTAGAGGAACTTATACAATACATGCTCCTGTGATTCTTTCCTGTGGACTCAGCTGAGTCAGATCTGTCTATATAGTGCCTTGGATGCTCTTGCCTTTTCTGATGGAAAATGGCTATGATTTTATATACCTTTTCATCCTTAACCATCAAGACCTCTGCTGATTTCCAGTGGTTTTTGATAAACATCCTTGTAATTGGCACTTTATGGTGTATCTTGTCCAGTCTCCCATGCATCCAACATGCATCCAACTTCTCAGGTTATCCCTAAGATGTAGTCCAGGTCCTTTCTCAAAAAGAGCAAAGCAGGTCAGGTTGCTGAAAGCATTGTTCTGTTAAAGATTGTCCTGGCTTTCAGGGCAACTTTCATTATTTGAAAGTCCTAATTATGCATGTGGGGGAAACCTTTGTTATTGGAATTTCCTTCATTGCAGCTTTTAACTGTTTTTCTTTGTCCTTTGGACATACATCACATGCTTCAGCATCCATATCATCTAGTTGGCTTTCTCCAGTATATTGATGTCTTGCTTGTCTAAGGAGTCCAAAACAGGACACAGTTCTCCAGATGCAGTCTTTCCAATGCCAAACAGCAGAAGGTAAACACATTCCAAGATTGCAGGCTATTCCTTGTGCAGTCTTGTATACACTTGAGCTTGATGGTTAAAGGGGCTCATTGCTGACTTATTTTCAGCTTGTTAATCATTTGTGTCTTTTTGGAAAGCCACTTCCTGGTTTTTGAGCCTCCAGCCTGTGTTGCTGCATTGGGGTGCTGAATTCTTAGTGTAGTCCATTTGCCCTTGCCTTTCATTTAGTTCCCACCTTTTCAGCCTGTCAGGGTCCATTTGGATAGCAGCCCTGCCCTCCAGTGTTTCAGTTGGTTTGTCTTCCTCCCCCTGACATTTTGCACAACCCTTCTGAGAGGAGCTCCTGTTCTCTGTGCAGATGTTCAGTCGAGACATTGAGCATTATTATTGCCCAATACTGATCCTTGAAAGGCATCACTAGTACGTTAATGGTTGTTTCATGTTCTTGGGTACAACTTTGAGTGGGACTTCTTTTTAATATAACTTTCTGTGAACTGAGATAATGTTGACTGGCCTAGAGCTCCCTGGACACTCTAACATGGGCATGGTGGTTGCCTTTTTTTGCAGTTTCCAGACATGTTTCCCAATCGTAGAATCGTTAAGGTTGAAAAAAAGCTCTAACATCATTGAATCTGACTGTTAACCCAGCACTTCCATGTTCATCACTAAACCGTGTCCCCAAGGGCCACATCTACACATATTTTAAATGCTTCCACCATTCTCCTGGGTAGCTTTTTCCAATGTCATTGTGACCAGAAAGGATAGAGAGTGGCCTCACAGTAGCCTTGGCCATGGACACCTTGGAGTGTGTCTCTCATGATTTTGTGGAACCGTGTATGTCAAATCTGCTGCAGTTGTCTTTTCCCCTTTATTTTGGTTTCACTGTTGTTTTATGTAACTTACCTTTTCCCTTTGGTTGCCATTGCATCTTTCACTGCAGCATCATGCTTCAGAATAGGTACACTAACCTGTTTGTCCTGTCTTGTGATTGAATAGTTTATATGCCAGATATCAATTTACTTACTCTGATTACATTATCTGGTGCTAGTCTGAGTTTGTGATAACTCTTTCATTGAACACTCTAGGTGTAGATCAAATTTTGTTATTTCTAAGTTATCTTTGAAATGAAATGTCAAGTTGAGGTAATAGTGTAGGATGCAGCTGTTAAAATATTCTGTCTGGAAGGTTGCATAAATAATTAATCTGATGCAAAGTTCACTTAGTGCATTTTACTTTGGAGTCAACTGAACCAAAGATGAAAAGAATTAGTCCTATGGCAGAGGTAATCTGCTCTTTGTGGATAACTCTGTTTCCAGATATTCCTGTCTGAAAAAATGACTGTAGGTGATTTTTGGATCAGTAATGAGACACCTAAATACATGTGTTGTTTTGCAGGTGCCAAGTGTATGCCTTCGTATGTTTTTTACTATAGGTTTTGCTAACCAGGAGAGGATTTTTCTAATCCTGAGGTGGCAACCAAGAAGCAGATCCCACAATTATTCCCCTAATCAGTTCACGTCTTGGCACCTAAGGCTTTGTATCCTGTAATAGGAGTTTGTTTTCTGGTGGACACCTACATTAAGGGTGTGTTAATCTAGAGCTAAAGCCCCATGAATGTAAACCTGTATTTCAGTATTCTAACAGACATTTTGATACTAGATTAAGCACTCTTGACAGAAGCTGAATTTCTTGCAAGACTTTTCCTGCATGTGGTTAGAGAATTTATGTGCAGGGTTTGACAAGAAGGAAGAAAATACTGCTTGGGATGTAAAAAGGTCTGATTTCCTAGGTAGTTGCATCTCTTTGAGTCCTCTTACTTTTCTCCATGATAACTCGTGAAACTCCCACTGGTCAAGTTTGTCCTTCTGTCTCCTCTGCATTCTAGGAGCTGGTGTGGCACAAACTGTGCTGTCTCTGTGGGCTGACAGAGCCAGTAGGAGCCTCATCTCTTGAGACCTCTGCCTGTTAAATCTGTATGGAAATTGATATACCATCTTAAGATATTTCTAGGGGAAATGCAGGCAATTTGTGCCAAAGATAGATGCCTGTAATAGAAATACTGTTCTTCAGAGCTTCAGCTAGGAAGAAGGAAGGAGATCCAGAAGTACTTTTGGCTATTACTGATTTTATCTTGAAACAGGCCTGAATAGTATTATGGGAGTATATCCACTATCTTTTCCCTGTTTTTCTCTTCTGTCCATTTTAATTTACGACTTTATGGCCTTTGGTAATCAAAAACCTAACAATAAATTAATAAAAGTCCCTCAGATATTACGTAGAGAAAAGTCATTTGGGATTGTCTCAGACAGGCAGTTTTTCAGATAAGCATTTCTTCTCTAGTTGCAGTCTTTCTTCCAGGTACTGCAACACTGTGTATTTCTGAAATTAGAAGTTAAAGACTGGACCAAAGCTACAACAACAGGTCTGTGTGAACCTCAAAATTCTCCCATGCCAGTCCAACATGTATTGCTGAATTCTCTGTTCTCATTGCTTAACTTCTGACCTTGATGTTGCAAATACTTCTCTTATATGAAGAGTTGTCAGTGGCATTTCCATTTAGATTTGTTGCTGAAGTCAATTCAGAATGAAAATGTGCAACAGATTTTATTGGTTCATGATCAGAAACTTTTCCAAAACCTACTGTCTTGTGTAAGAACTAGTTACTTTTGCTTCTTGGACTTTAAACACATCAGAAAAGGGGGTGACAAGTTATGTATACTGTGGTTGTTGATGTAACTGGATTTCTTTGTTGAAACTGCTCTTGGCTTCTTTCAGCTTTAAATAATGAATAAATAAAAGCAGGGATAATGCATTAAAAATGTATCTCTTTATAGTTTGGCCAAATTCACTTTACTTACATTTCAGTCACTGCAAGTTAGATAATAACATGGCAAACAATGCAGTAGTAAAGGTCACTGCATTATCATTAAAATAACTTCTTTTTGGGGATGCTGGGGTGAAATAGGCAGATGGGGGTACAAGGTTTCATCCAGAGAATTGGGCTGCAATTGACAGTATTAAAGAACGCTTCTCCCTTCCCTCCAGAAATGTTTTTCATTTGTACTATATTCAATTTTTTTCAAGGTGGCACTTGTTGGTTCAAAACAAAACATTTTCTGTCTTTTCTGTCTTGGTTGTTCTTTACCTTAAGCCTTTCAAAACCCCAGATTAAAACTAGGGAAAATAAGGAAATTTTTTTTCAAGTGTACTTTGCTAATGTGGTCAAGTGTCATTACTTAAAATTTCAGTCAGATCTTTTCCTTTTAAGTTGTGCAGCACTGAGAATTTTCCAGTGGCTGTTAATGAGGGTAGTGCCCCCCTTAATAGTGCAGCAGACCTTGTAGATCTTTCAGGCTTTGGTTTATGTGCCTGAAATTTCACAAACTGACTAGGAAATAGAATTTGTGTCCTTGTACTCAAAAATGAATGGTCCTTTTTCACTATGCAAAAATAGTTGAAAGAGCTAATGTTATTTTTAACTACGGTTTTGATGGTTAAAGGTCATGGTGTTATGCTGCAATATCCAGTTTTATTACATGGCACACAAAACTTGCAAAGACATTCATGCACTAGTTCTGTTTGTCTGGTAGTTTTTCATTTGTTTACTTTCAAATGGGTTTCAAATGAATCTTTTCAGTGTACAGTGTGAACAAGAAATTTGAAATTATTTGCCTTTAAGGTAGAATAGAGCTTATTGTCCAGTTTATCATTGTGTATTTCTGTGACAGAAACGGAAAGATTCATTCTCTCATATAGTAGTACCATATATCAACTTCTGCAGCCCCTTGAGACATCAAATACTGAACTGGGCCTCACACTACTGGATATGACAGCTGTTGGGGGTGGGGTGGTTTGGCTGAGTTTTTTTGCAATTATTCTGGGAGAAGGCATAATAGCAAAGAGACAACTCTGTAAATATTGACCTGTTATAACAGTATCTTTTTTTGCTTAACAGCAAACATGAGGTCGGGGTCAGAAGAGTCAGTCCCCTTACATGAAGAATTTATCTACTGTTGTGGAGCTGCTACCCATGTCTTAAAGTGTGGGCCCTGGAAAGACCTCTCAAAAGATGAAAGTAAAAATCTACCCAGGCTCTTGTTCATGATTATTCCTGGTAAGGGTCTTTTTTTGTTTAAGTCTAGAAGTTTGTTGCTTGAAAGGGGTATGTCCAGTTTCATTTTCAAAAGTCTCACTACTTAAGTGGTAGATTTTGGCTCATGCTTGTCACCAAAAAATCAATAGTATTGCAGTGGTGAAATTTCTTTGTTACGTTTGATTGTAAAACTTGTGACCAGGTGCCGCCTGGGGTGCCAGAACTGCTGCCTGGAAAGGCTGACTTGGAACAGAGACTATACAGAGCAAAAGGAATAAATCAGGTATTTATTGAAAGGATACACCTTGGGCAGTGCAAGAGCCTGGCTGGGGCTGCACCCCAATCAAATCCAAGACAGCACCAGTCACAAGTGTTTGCACTTTTATAAGTTTTGGTTCATTTGCACGTCGAGGTGAATTGTGCCATCAAAGCCCCAGGCTATGAAGTCTCAGGCCCCTGGCTTTCCCCCTTCCCTTCGATGTTTTTTTATGCCTTTTGGGTACCAACTGTCCTCGATTCTCTAACTAGAAAGGGATTGTTTTGTCTAACCACCCTGTGAAGAGAACTTACTAACACCTAGTATGAAGTTTCAGAGTTACACACCAAGCTGAAGAGAATCTGAAAAATATAAAAGCTAAAACCCAAGGCATCACTACTGCTACCTTTATTTTTAAGAGTGCCAGAAGACAGTACTTACAAATTAGGATGTCTTACTCATTTACTTTGTGGTAATGGTTGAATGAGAGCATTGTGGGTTTTTGTTTGTTTTCATTGCTCTTCTTCCATTTATCTCTTGCACCTTGAAATGTTACTGAAATGCCATCCGTGTGCCAACTGACAGATAAAAGTTACAGTATTTGAGGAAAAATCTAGATCCAGTAGTTTCTTTGGTTTTTTTTAAATAGTAAAATTTTTTATCCTAGATTTTTGCACATGAATTTTTATGCTGATGCTCTTGAACTCAGTGAGTATTGTAGGGTTCTTCATTATATTTAAATGTGGCTGTCTTAAAATGAGAGCTCTAAACTTGCATGTTAAAATTAATGGAGAAGTCCTGATTTCGTTGAAGTCTACCAATGAACTGTAGAAGTTCTGTCTTTAGTAAAAGTAGAGCTTGAGCCCACTCAAGCACAGATTCTGTGACTCTTTCACTGCCTGAAAGTTTGCCGATTTCTAATTCTTTCCATACTTTATTTGAATGTACTGGATACTATTGTTATTTCCACCAGAATGAGTGGTGCAAATAATGACTTTTCTGAGTATCAACTTTAGTTCACTATTAGTGTATCTAGTTGTTGTTTATGGGACTGTGTGTGGTTTGATCTTTACTTAGTGGTGAAAGAGAAAACAAATGCAATTTTTCAGGGTTTTTTTTTTTCAATTTTTGTTATGTCCATGGAATATTTTATGTAAGTTTCCTTGGGCACAATGGTTTTATGCCTTTGCCTCCAGAAGCTGAATAGTAACTTTATAAGCCAGTGACAGTGAAGTTTAAGTTCTTTCCTTAATCGAAAAGAAGCAGTATTCTATGAGTACATCTTGTTCCTGTTTTATGGGGAATAACCTTTTAAACCAAATACATTATGCAGTATCTCTTTAGTACCTCTCTGGAGGTACAGGCCTGACTTCATACTTTTCAATTGCTGCTTGCTCTCAGTTAAGGCATTTGAGGAAGGTTTAATTCAACAGCTAAGTTTAGAATTTCTTTTCCCCACAAGTTCTGGAGCATTCACCTGTCTTCAGGCTGATACTTTCTGTTTGGGGTGATAGTAGGGGCTGTAGCAAGGATAAACCTGTAAAGCTAGATCATATCAGTAGAAAGATATGTAGGGGAAGAGCACAAAAGTCAAACATTAGCATCCAAGGCATGGTACCTCTACAAGGCATATAAGTTACTCTGTTTGAAATGTACCAAGTCACATACATTGCACGGTCTCCATATTCATCGCAGGAAACTTTTAATGCTGTAAGACGCAGTGGCAGGGCTGCATGGAGCTGATTTCCTGTAGGACAGTTCTGTAAAGACTCCTTAATAACATATTAACTAGATAGATGTTCAGAATTAGATATCAGTGAAATGTTCAGTGTGCTTATGTCATAGTCTTCAGGCTTTTGCAAGCAGCTGATTTATGGGTTTGCTCTTATTTCAGAATTATGTTGGTAGCAAGCTGGAAGTTCTCTCACTGCAAAAACAGTTTTAAATCTCAGCAACCATTATAATGCTATCTTCACTTTAGGTGCCGAAATTCAGTAGTGAATTAAGTTACCCAGGCTTTTTAATATGGCTGGCAGGGAGCTTAGTTATGCCAGGGACCTGACATAACAAAGTGCAGTTTTGCTTCTCATAAAACAAATGGTGGAGTTCTTTGCTACTGTTAGATGCCTCATTTTCAGCCTTCAAGGGAAGGCTTACCTGCCAGTGAAAAACCTACAGCCTTAGGAGAGATCTGGACATTTGGGTCATCTGGCAATGTGTTCGTGTCCCTAAACAGGATTAGATAGCATTCCCCTTGTGCTTTTGTAACTTCCTGAGTATGAAATGTGGAGCCCTTCAGGAGTCCAGCAATTTTCACACTTGAGAGGCATGTATCCATGGTTGAGATTCTTTATGGAATGAGGGAAAGGGGCAAAAGGACAGCTTGGTACACAAATCAAGGAAAGCAATATCCAGACAAGGGCAGCTCTGGCTTCAAAAAAAAGAGTATGCACGGCCAAATGTTGAGTGATTTGAACTGAAGGTGGTTAGTCCTGCTGCATGTGTTACTCTGTTCTGTGTATTAAACTGCTCTGGCACATACTTTTCCAGTCCTAATGAAATTCAATCATATGATTTTGTTAACACGTAGTCAAACCAGAGTTTTGAGTATTGAGTGGGTATTGAGAAAGATGACAAAATTCTCAACTTCTGCTGGAATTGAATTGTTGCAGGAGATTTGAGAATAAATCCTGTATATTTATTTTCATTTTGTGTTTTAATCATGTTACTTCAGAACAAGGAGGATTCCTCTCAGGTCCAACTTAGCTTTCTCTCTCTCCCCACTTTTAAAAAAATAACTCCAAAACATTCTTCTACTCTGAAATTAATGGCAAAATTCCCATTGACTTAAAATGAGGCACGATTTTGCCTCCTGAGAACTGATAGCTCACTATGCTTGAAGCAATTGAAAAACAGAACATGCTGCAGAGTTTAATCTCATTTAGCTGCAACAAGCTCATGTTTTTTTAATTAGTGGAAGTGTGTGTGAACTTAAATTTTTAATAAAGCCTTACTGTATTAATTGAAATGTTTAATACACACATTTTGTTTCATAACATTTTTTCTTGTGTCCACAAAACCTCTGAATAGGAGTAATAATGTGTTTACTAAAGCAACTACTATGTAGAAGGTCCAATTTTTCCTCAGTCCAGAGTATATGCATATAGTTGTTTGACTTTCTTAATATGAATTCTTTTCTATTAAAATTGATGAGATTTACGTATGAGACTAACATGAAATGTGTAGAGTTGAAGAATCAGGTCCATGGTTTTCTGGAAATGTAGGTCCTATGGAAAGGACAGGAATTTCTGTTTTTCCTCTTGTGTCCTGAAGGACTGTTTTTGCTTTTGCAGTGTTTGTTTAGTGTAAAATTAGCAGTGAAATACAAAATCTATTGCAGCAATATTTAACATTACTTGTGTTCATTGAAAACCATAATCCACAAAGTGTAAGGGAATTGTTTTTCTGTTTTAATAGTATCTGTCTGTTTGGGCCTGTGTATTTATGAAACGTTTATTCTTGTAAATAGATATAAGTTTTGAAACCACTGTGCTGTTTAGCTCATGACATTTTACTTTTCACCAAAGTTTTTCTTGCATTTTATTCCAGGAGTACATTGGGATACCTTTGTTCCAGGCTTCCTATAATTTGTGTTACCATTGCTGTAAACGAGGCAATTTTGCAATTTACAATCTTGTACTTGGGAAGCATATATAATGTAAATAACATTTTTTTTGTGGTCAATCATGTTACACAAGTTTCATTCATTAATATACAGAAATTATTTCAGAATCTGGTTCTCTGGCCTATGCTTTGCCAAGTTTCTTGATCTGCCTGTTTGCAGTTGAATTACTGCTGGGTTTTTGGATCATCTTATTGCTTTACCACCTCATACTGTCACCTGGTGATGTTTAAGGGCTATGAGGACTTAAGAAGACAGTTTTTTCAAGTATAAAGATCTTTCTTCTGAGCTAAATGTCTGAGTCAAGAAGTGCTTATGCACAACAGAAATTGAGGCTTGGATTCTCATCTTCTCCTAGGAGTAATTACATGTACTTACATCAACAACACTGTTTCTCTTGAAGACTACTGAACTATTTTTCAGCAGTGAAAACAGTGCAAACAATTTGCCTGGATTATGACAAGCCTTTAGTATATTCTCTCTTGAGATGAGAATTCCTGTTAGTTTTAAGGTCTTTAAAGTTCCATTTTTGACTGTAACATAGGGACTCTGGAAAGCTTTCAGTACATTATCTGGCTTTATCTTCACCTGCTGTTTTACTTAAGTCATCACCCTCAACATTTGCATAAGAAGAGTTATAATAAGAATTACTATGTTATAATACTTTGCAATAAAACTAATTGTATAGCCCTGAAGCTTAGTTCCTTTGTTTTTTGGCTCCCACCAAACTGGCTTTCTGAAAGTTATTAATCATTCAATCTGCTCAGCAGTTACTGGAATGAGCTGTTCTTCAGAGGGTCTATCACCACTGAGACCAAGAGGTAAAATAATCTATTTTTTCATTCAGCAAACTGTGTAAAGCATATTTAATTCTCTTCAGTTTGGTTTTAGAATGGGCGTTGTTTTATACAAAATTTATGTGACTAAATGTCCTTGTTTCTGCATAATCTTTCTGTTATAACTTGCCTTCAACAGCTGATCTGGATCTAGTAAGGACTCTCAGTATCAGCAGATGAGGTTGCAGTGTGTAGCTTCTGGCAATCCTAGCCAGGATATAATCTGGAATCCTGTATGGAATCTTGG